GAAGCTCAATCAGCAGCCACCAGAGTCAGGGGGAAAGGTGCAGAGTCAATGCAACACCAATCTAAAGTCACTGTCAGATCATTCCAAGAACTAGCAGGGAGAACAAAGTGTCAAACCAACCATGTAGTGCCAGTTGATTTACCTGAGAAGCTTGTAGGCCCATCTCCTGTAGTGTCATTTCAGGTGGAGGGAGTGTACACTAGGGCACTGCTAGAAACCGGGGCTCAGATGACCTTGCTATACATAGACATTTATGACAAGTATATGAAACATATCCCTTTACGCAAGTTGGAAGAATTGGAGATCTGGAGTATTGGCTCTGAAAAATTCCCCTATGATGGCTACATTCCAGTTAAAACAACTTTCTGTCCCTTGACTGCAGAAAAGACAGAGACATTTGATACATTAGCAATTGTATGTTCCAGACCGTAAGGGACAAGACAAAACTCCCTATTAATTGGAACCAACACTGACCTAGTAAGAGGATTGCTTATTCCTCTAGCTGAGAATGAAGACCTCACACTCAAGGGAATACAACCTCAATTGCATCAAGTCTTTCAATGGGTGCAGAGAGCCCCAATGGAAGGAGAGGGAAGACTGTGTAGTTTAGGAGCCAGGGAAAGAGTGCTGCATCCTGGTGAAACAGTCTGTATGAAGGTCAAAGTCAAGTTGACTTGGGATCATCCGGAACCCTTTGTCGTCTTGAAGACTGATTCACTACCAGGAGAGATGGGAGTGGAGCTGATCCCTGAAATAGTGTTCACAAGAGTCTTGTCCCAGAATGGAGGGAAGGTGCCAGTCAGTCTTCCGAATGTTGATTGAACAAGTGAGTTGGCTACTCCGGTAATACCTACTGATTTAGTGAAGGAGAGTCCAGAGAAAAGGGGAAGGGGAGTGTTCTTCCTTGCACACACCAGTATCTCCCAAGTGGGAGAAAAGAGTCAAGGATCAGTTATTAAGATGAGAAAAGATGTTTTCCTAGAATGACTTTGTCGTGGGATGTGCTAAATGTGCTCAGCATAGGGTTCGGCTGCAGGAAGACAGACTGTTTAGGGGGAGTGCAAGGTGAATACATTTGAGCGATCTAGAAGACCTCAGAGAGCAACTTACTGTACTAAAAAAGTCAGGAGTCATTAGAGAATCCAGGCGCCCTTACGCTACTCCTATAGTTGTAGTGAGGAACAAAAATGGGACTCGGTTGTGTATTGACTGCAGAACTCTGAACAGAAGAACCATTACTGACCAGTAGATCGCTCCTCGAGTCAAACATGCCCTTCAATCTTTGTCAGGGGTGAAATAGTTCAGTGTCCTAGATCTAAAAAATGGGTACTATTAGATTCACATACATCCAGACAATTGAGAATAGACTGCATTCATCTGCCCATTAGGGTTCTTTGAGTTCAATTGAAAAGGTTCTTCAAAGGCTACATAAAGAAGGACTGAAGTTGTCATTGGAGAAATGTCAGTTTTATCAAGCTTCTGTCACCTACCTAGGGCATGTTGTTTCAGCAGAAGGGATTGCCACTGACCCTAAGAAGTTGGAGGCAGTTACCATATGACCTGACCAAGAACAGTGTCAGAGCCTCGAATCAAACCTGGGCCTTCTGCGGTGAGAGACAGTGTTTCTTCTCACTGAGCCACCTGGAATGCTGGACAGCTCCCTTGACAATTCTTTGGATGATCCTGCCTTTGCCCTGTTTTGTCTTGAACCTTGAACTCCTTGCTCCTCCCATGAACTTCCTATAAAAGCCATGTCTCTGCACTTCCTGGTTGCCAGATTATTGTGCCTTACCAGCCAATATCCCGCTTACTGTTCCTGCTGCCGTCTTCATCTACGTTACCGACCTTTGGCTTGCTACTGACTACGATTCTGCCTCATCCTATCTACTACCATTGGTGACCGACCCTTGGCTTGTGACTGACTCTGCTTCTGTTTGATCCCTGAACTGTTTGATCCGCTTTTGGTTTCCAGCCTACTCATTCCCTGGTGGGGTGATCCTGAGATCTGCGACCTGGCATTCACACGCAGCCAAATCCATCTCCACCATTAGGAGCTCTGGGGAAGACCGGTGGATGCTTAGACCCCGCACCTCAGGTGAGCCTGCGTCATTCCCAGGGTGGGCCGCTGGTGTACCAATCCTGCTGGTTTCAGGTAAGCCTTACAACTGCTGTAGCAACTGGTCTCTGAACCTGACCCAGATCGTGACAAACAGTCACTGAATTTAGGTCTTCTCTAGGGTTCTGCTCCTACTATCATGGTGAATTTCGCAAAGATTGCCTGCCCACTCAGTTAGTTACTAAAGAGTTACTAAAGAGGGAAAGGCGAAGGTGAGAATTGTAAGGCAGGTCAAGTGAGGCGAGGAGCTCGAAAAAGCCAGAAGAATTCATTCAGGAGAGATGGATGCTTTTCATCACCTCAAGATAAACCTCAGGGAAGCTCCAGTCCTGGCTTACACAGATCCTACCAGACCATATGAGCTCCATGTGAACGCCAGTCAAAAGAGACTGGGTGGGGTCCTATACCAAGAGCAAGATGGGAGGTTACATCCCATAGCTTACGTAAGCCAAAGTCTTACTTCATCTGAGAAAAATTACCTTGTGCATAGGTTGGAGTTCTTGGCCCTGAAGTGGGCTGTCATCTACAAATTGAAGGATTATCTATATGGGGCCTCCTTTGAAGTCAAAACAGACAATATTCCAGTACAATACCAGACAATATATTCTAAACTCCAAGCTAAACTCCACTGGACATCATTGGTTAGCTGCTTTGTCAGGATTTCAATTCAGTTTGAAATATCGGCTGGGATTAGGGAACCGAGCTGTTGAAGACCACATAATAGAGTCATAGGTTCAGAAAGTTGGATTCATGTGATGTTTAAGGGAGTCCAGGCGTTGTGCCAATGTATTGATCATCGTCACAAAGAAGTTGAGGCCATTGGAGTCACTCCATCGGGAGTGCCCAAGTGGTACTATGACCTGTCTCAAGTGAGAAGCAAGGGTCTCCCACAGTTGTCAAAGAGAGCCTTGAAGGTGGATCAGACTCTGCAGTTTAACTTTGAAAGCTCAGACCAAACAAGATCCCAGCCTGCTACTAAATATTTCCATCATGAACTCCAAGTTAGTCTACAAAGAATGGTATCTTCAGCAGGTGCGAGATGACTTCATCTATCAGAGGGGTCCTTCAGAAGATTCAGAGGAAAGGTGGCAGTTTTTTCTTTCAGAGAAACGCAGACAAGCAGTGAAAACAGCTCTTCATAATGAATACGGACCATATATGACCTTTAGATTGGTTAGAGAGCATTTTTACTGGCCTGCTATGAGAGCAGAAGTAGAGATCTAATGTCAGTTATGCTTGCAGTGCATTCAAAAAGGAAACTCTACCAACCAAAGCTGCCCTCATGAGTCACTTACAAAGTCAAGGGCCTAAGTTGGTGTGCATTGACGTTCTGTACCTGGAACTCCATACCAGTGGGAGAAGCAATGTTCTGGTGGTAACTGACCACAGTACTGGTTTGCTCAAGCCTTCCCAACAAAGATCAACAAGCAGTCAATGTGGTGAAAGTACTGGTAAAAAAAGATTTTTAATGCACTATGGTCTGCCACAACGAATACATTCTGACCAGGGCAGGGACTTTGAGAGCAAACTTGTTCACAAGGTATGTGAGCTGCTGGCCATCGAAAAATTCCAAACTTCCCCATATCATACACAGGAAGATCCTCAACCTGAACGGTTCAACCACACTCCGTTGAATATGCTGGGAACTTTTCCCTCAGAGAAGAAACAGCATTGGGGAAATCATATTGCAGCTATAGTTCAAGCCTACAACAGCATGACTAAGGATGCCAGGAGGGATTCCCCCTACAGATTAATGTTTCGGAGAGAATCTAGACTGCCAGTCGACCTAGCTTTCAGAACCTCCATGGATCATACATCACTGACTTCATACAGTATGTGTATGTTAGTTGTTGTTTGTACCCATAGTATGGCCCAGAAACAATAGTGCCAATTTTGCTTTTTCTTTTATCCTGCCACTAACTGACACTGATACTAATCTAAAAATTAAAAAAAAAGAAATCCTGCCAAAAAAATACTGACCCTGATCCTTGACCCTGACCTTGACCCAAACACTAACCCTGGCACTGATCTAGATCAAACCTCGATCTAGCTTTTTTTTCTGTTCTTTATTTACCGTATTTTTGGCTCCATAAGATGCACTTTTTTCCCCCAAATAAATGGGGTAAATGTCTGTGCATCTTATTGAGCGAACATGGAGTGGCCGGTCCGGTATTTTCCCGTGTTAGAATACCAGGTCGGCTGCTCGGCTCTTCTCTGCAGACCTCCAGTGGTCCTACCTGTTCCTCAGTCCAGCGGTGTCCTCAGTCTTCTCTCCCCGGTGCCGCCATGGGCACCCAGCTGTGACAGCTTGTGACTTCACAGCCGGGAGCCCACTGCGCATGCGCGAGAAGCGCTACGGTTTGTGAATGGCCTTGTAATCTTCTGGGACCTGTCACGTGCCCCAGAAGATTACGGGGAAGGAGGGGGAAGGACAACTCTGCGGAAGTGAGAGCGGGTACCTGTAAAATTCGGGTACCCGCTTCCCCCCTCCTCCGCTCGCCAAAGGTCCACAGTCTCTGGTCATCTCCTGTACTATGTACTATGTCCGCAGTCTCTGGTCATCTCCTGTAGTATGTCCACAGTCTCTGGTCATTTCCTGTATGTCCGTTGTATGTCCGCAATCTCTGGTCATCTCCTGTAATATGTCTGCAGTCTCTGGTCATCTCTGTACTATGTCCGCAGTCTCTGGTCATTTCCTGTACTATGTCCGCATACTCTGGTCATCTCCTGTAGTATGTCTGCAGTCTCTGTTCATCTCCTGTAGTATGTCCGCAGTCTCTGGTCATCTGTAGTATGTCCGCAGTCTCTGGTCATCTCCTGTAATATGTCTGCAGACTCTGGTCATCTCCTGTAGTATGTCCGCAGTCTCTGGTCATCTCCTGTTCCTGTAGTATGTCCGCAATCTCTGGTCATCTCCTGTAATATGTCCGCAGTCTCTGGTCATCTCTTGTAATATGTCTGCAGTCTCTGGTCATCTCCTGTAGTATGTCCGAAGTCTCTGGTCATCTCCTGTTCCTGTAGTATGTCCGCGGTGTCTGGTCATCTCCTGTAATATGTCTGCAGACTCTGGTCATCTCCTGTAGTATGTCCACAGTCTCTAGTCATCTCCTGTTCCTGTAATATGTCCGCAGTCTCTGGTCATCTCCTGTACTATGTACGCAGTCTCTGGTCATCTCCTGTACTGTGTACGCAGTCTCTGGTCATCTCCTGTAGTATGTCCGCAGTCTATGGTCATCTGTAGTATGTCCGCAGTCTATGGTCATCCCCTCTACTATGTCCGCAGTCTCTGGTCATCTCCTGTAATATGTCCGCAGTCTCTGGACATCTCCTGTAGTATGTCTGCAGTCTCTGGTCATCTCCTGTACTATGTCCACAGTCTCTGTTCATCTCCTGTACTGTGTCCGCAGTCTCTGGTCATCTCCTGTCTGTGTCAGTTTCTGGTCACCTCCTGTGTCCACAGTCTCTGGTCATCTCCTGTACTATGTCTGCAGTCTCTGGTCATCTCCTGTACTGTATCTGCAGTCTCTGGTCATCTCCTGTAATATGCCTGCAGTCTCTGGTCATCTCCTGTACTGTGTCCGCAGTCTCTGGTCATCTCCTGTACTGTGTCCGCAGTCTCTGGTTCATCTCCTGTACTATGTCCCAAAGTCTCTGGTCATCTCCTGTACTGTGTCCACAGTTTCTGGTCACCTCCTGTAATAATGCCTGCAGTCCTCTGGTCATCTCCTGTACTATGTCTGCAGTCTCTGGTCATCTCCTGTACTGTGTCCGCAGTCTCTGGTCATCTCCTGTAATATGCCTGCAGTCTCTGGTCATCTCCTGTACTGTGTCCGCAGTCTCTGGTCATCTCCTGTACTGTGTCCGCAGTCTCTGGTCATCTCCTGTAGTATGTCCGCAGTGGTCATCTCCTGTAGTATGTCCCCAATCTCTGGTCATCTCCTGGTCCGCAGTCTCTGGTCATCTCCTGTACTATGTCCCCAATCTCTGGTCATCTCCTGTAATATGTCTGCAGTCTCTGGTCATCTCCTGTACTATGTCAGCAGTCTCTCGGTCATCTCCTGTAGTATGTCCACAGTCTCTGGTCATTTCCTGTACTATGTCCGCATACTCTGGTCATCTCCTGTACTATGTCCGCAGTCTCTGTCATCCCCTGTACATGTCCGCAGTCTCTAGTAATCTCCTGTAATATGTCTGCAGTCTCTCATCTCCTGTACTATGTCCGCAGTCTCTGGTAATCTCCTGTACTGTGTCCGCAGTTTCTGGTCATCCCCTGTACTGTGTCTGCAGTCTCTGGTCATCTCCAGGTATGTCCACAGTCTCTGGTCTCCTGTAGTATGTCCGCAGTCTCTGGTCATTCTCCTTTAGTATATCTGCAGTCTCTGGTCATCTTCTGTAGTATGTCCGCAGTCTCTGGTCATCTCCTGTACTGTGTCTGCAGTCTCTGGTCATCTCCTGTACTATGTCCGCAGTCTCTGGTCATCTCCTGTACTATGTCCGCAGCCTCTGGTCATCTCTTGTACTATGTCCGCAGTCTTTGGTCATCTCCTGTACTATGTCCGCATCCTCTGGTCAGCCATACTATGTCCCTCAGCCTCTGGTCATCTCCTGTACTATGTCCTCAGCCTCTGGTCATCTCCTGTACTATGTCTGCGGTCTTTGGTCATTTCCTGTACTATGTCCGCAGCCTCTGGTCATCTCCTGTACTATGTCCGCAGTCTGGTCATCTCCTGTACTATGTCTGCAGTCTCTGGTCATCTCCTGTACTACAGTCAGGTCCATAAATATTGTGGGACATCGACACAATTCTAACATTTTTGGCTCTATACACCACAATGGATTTGAAATGAAATGAACAAAATGTTCTTTAACTGCAGAACGGTCGGCTTTAATTTGAGGGTATTTACATCCAAATCAGGTGAACAGTGTAGGAATTACAACAGTTTGCATATGTGCCTCCCACTTGTTAAGGGACCAAAAGTAATGGGACAATTGGCTTCTCAGCTGTTCCATGGCCAAGTGTGTTATTCCCTCATTATCCCAATTACAATGAGCAGATAAATGGTTCAGAGTTCATTTCAAGTGTGCTATTTGCATTTGGAATCTGTTGCTGTCAACTGTCAAGATGAGATCCAAAGAGCTGTCACTATCAGTGAAGCAAGCCATCATTAGGCAGAAAAAACAAAACAAACCCATCAGAGAGATAGCAGAAACATTAGGCGTGGCCAAAACAACTGTTTGGAACATTCTTAAAAAGAAGGAACGCACCGGTGAGCTCAGCAACACCAAAAAGACCCAGAAGACCACGGAAAACAACTGAGGTGGATGACTAGAATTTCTTTCCCTGGTGAAGAAAACACCCTTCACAACAGTTGGCCAGATCAAGAACACTCTCCAGGAGGTAGGTGTATGTGTGTCAAAGTCAACAATCAAGAGAAGACTTCACCAGAGTGAATACAGAGGGTTCACCACAAGATGTAAACCATTGGTGAGCCTCAAAAACAGGAAGGCCAGATTAGAGTTTGCCAAACGACATCTAAAAAAGCCTTCACAGTTCTGGAACAACATCCTATGGACAGATGAGACCCAAGATCAACTTGTGCCAGAGTGATGGGAAGAGAAGAGTATGGAGAAGGAAAGGAACTGCTCATGATCCTAAGCATACCACCTCATCAGTGAAGCATGGTGGTGGTAGTGTCATGGTGTGGGCATGTATGGCTGCCAATGGAACTGGTTCTCTTGTATTTATTGATGATGTGACTGCTGACAAAAGCAGCAGGATGAATTCTGAAGTGTTTTCAGGCAATATCATCTGCTCATATTCAGCTAAATGCTTCAGAACTCATTGAACGCCGCTTCACAGTGCAGATGGACAATGACCCAAAGCATACTGCAAAAGCAACCAAAGAGTTTTTTAAGGGAAAGAAGTGGAATGTTATTCAATGGCCAAGTCAATCACCTGACCTGAATCCGATTGAGCATGCATTTCACTTGCTGAAGACAAAACTGAAGGGAAAATGCCCCAAGAACAAGCAGGAACTGAAGACAGTTGCAGTAGAAGCCTGGCAGAGCATCACCAGGGATGAAACCCAGCGTCTCGTGAGGTCTATGCGTTCCAGACTTCAGGCTGTAATTCACTGCAAAGGATTTGCAACCAAGCATTAAAAAGTGAAAGTTTGATTTATGATTATTATTCTGTCCCATTACTTTTGGTCCCTTAACAAGTGGGAGGCACATATGCAAACTGTTGTAATTCCTACACTGCTCACCTGATTTGGATGTAAATACCCTCAAATTAAAGCTGACAGTCTGCAGTTAAAGCACATCTTGTACTTTTATTTCAAATCCATTGTGGTGGTGTATAGAGCCAAAAATGTTAGAATTGTGTCCATGTCCCAATATTTATGGACCTGACTGTATGTCTGCAGTCTCTGGTCATCTCCTGTACTATGTCCGCAGTCTCTGGTCATCTCCTGTACTATGTCCGCAGTCTCTGGTCATCTCCTGTACTATGTCCGCAGCCTCTGGTCATCTCCTGTACTATGTCTGCAGTCTTCGGTCATTTCCTGTACTGTATCCGCAGTCTGGTCATTTCCTGTACTATGTCTGCAGTCCTTTGGTTCAGAATATTTTTTTCCTGTTTTCCTTCTCTAAAATCTAGATGCGTCTTATGGTCAGGTGCATCTTATGGAGCAAAAAATACAGTATATATTTTTTACAAACACTTTTTTTTCTTTCTGAAAGGACAGAGAGATACAATGTATCTTTTCTCCTCCATTCAGAGAGAGAAAAAAAGGGGGGTGAGCTTCACAGTGACTGATAACTGTGATATCCAATCAGAGGCTTTCACAGCGATCATGTGACCCGGAATCAGGAGTTAGAACAGGACACGGGGCTCTCACTGACACCCTTGTCTTTGTGCTGGGAGCACAAAGACAGGTATGCAAATTAGCAGCCCCATGGAAAAAAGCCCAGTCCAGTGGGACTGCTAATTTTCATATGCGCAGCGCCAAAGGGTTGAATATAACCCTTCTACAATATTATCTATGGCAATATCCACAACCTGTACTAAACGAGGGGTTAATAGGGGTCCTATATTTTGCCCTCCAGATGGCAGTTAGTGCCAGGACTCGGGTGAACAGCCTTACCCTTGACAACAGGATATAGGGGTGTATTTACTAAAGCTGGAGAGTACAAAATCAGGCTCACTTCTGCATAGAAACCAATCAGCTTTTAACCTCATTTTGTTTAGTTAAGCTTAGGCAATAAAAACTGGAAGCTGATTGGTTTCTTTGCAGAAGTGAGCCTGATTTTTCACTCTCCAGCTTTAGTAAACAAACCCCAATAGTGGTTGGATCTAGTCAGTCTGTCATGGGGGTGCAGTTAAAAATGTCAGTGGGGCAGAGGATAGGAGGTCAGCAGGGCAGCGCACAAAAACAGGAATCTGTAGCAGAGTGTACTGGGGGTCAGCAGGGCAGAGGGTAGGAATTAGCAGAGCAAAGGGTGGGGACCTGTATTTTTTAGGGCAGTGTACAGGGGGTCAACAGAGCAGAGGACAGGCGGTCAGCAGGGTGGAGGACAGTGGTCAGTGTGGTAGTGTATTGCAGGGGACAGTAGTTTATTTTTCCCCAGAGTTGAAACCACCTTACATTATAGTCTGCAGAGTCCCCCTTACATCAGAGTCTAGCAGAGTTTAGAGTTTAGAGTGCCCCCCTTACAGCAGAGTCCAGCAGAGTGTCCCCTTACATCCGAGTCTGGCAGTCAGAGCCCATGACAAAGGGATTTTTTATGGGCACTTTTCTCCTGTCCATGAACAGTTGTGATTAGGAGAAAATTGTCTCTTTTATACAAACTGTAAATTTATGGATGGTTGGGGTGTACACATACTCCCACTGTGGTGTTTTGTGGGCTTGGAAAAAAATCTATCCTCTGTTGCTTTCTGTGGGCACAGTGTCTGCTGAATGTGACACATTCAAGTAAATGAAACTGCTCTACAAGCACAACTGTGTGCAATGCACGTGGTTGCAGTGCACTAATGTGGGGTTCTAGGGGTTAAAGCAGGAGGAGAGGTTATACATCTCCCCACTGCCTGCCAACTGCTCTCTGACGAGTGATCTGAATGCAGGTCGCTCTTCAGAGACCAAAGTTCATATGAACAATCCCCTAAAGGGATGCTGGGGCTGGGCAGGAAGGGGTTAAACAGAAGCATCACAAATTTGTGAGTTATAAATCCATCAGTTTATCCAGCCTACAGAATATCAGCCATTTCCAATAATACTAAAATCCCTGTATGTTAACATGAACAGAGATGGGGAGGGAGACAGATGGCGGAGAGAGGGGATGGGGAGATATGGGGTAAAGATGGGGGAGAGAAGGGGGTAGTAGAGGGGAGAGAGAAGGGGAAAGATAGAAGGGAGGAGAAGGTGGGGAGATAGAGGGGGGAGAGAAGAGGGGTGATGGGGGGGCAAAGAAGGTAGGGAGATTGAGAGTGGAGATGGGGGGGGGGGGAAGGTGGGGAGATAGAGGGGGAGAGATAGAGGTGAGGGGGGGGTGATAGAGAAGGGGGGGAAGGGGGGTGATAGAGAGGAGACAAAGGTGGGGAGATTGAGGGGGCAGATAGGGAGGGAGAAGGTAGGGAAAAAGGAGAGAGATGGGGGGGAGAGAAGG